CCCCCCCCCCCCCCCGCCGGTCCATCAGGCTTAGGCTATCCAATTATTTTAACATTTTCTTCTACAGGGTGTCCTAGATACCCCGCCCCAAATTTTTGTACATTATTATGTCTTTTTTTTTCTGATGGAAATGAATTTTTGTGTCATTCGACAGCCTAGATCTTTCTTAACAACTGCTGTTAAACTTGACGGTTTGTGATTTCTGGAAGACACACTCCAGCCCCTAGGAGGCGGCAAAGCAGGATGGCAGGCAGTACCAAGGCAGTACCAGCAGGAGCTCTTATCCATTCTTAATGTCTAACTTCTTTTCAATAATTGCTGATGGATTTGCTTCGGCACAACAAATTTGGGTGAAGTTTGAGGTATCAATCGGAAACATGCTCATCTATTCAATGTGAAAGTTTCGCGAAACTAATTCCATTGGGAGGGAGCGTTGGTTTTTTTTGCCATACCCTGTATATACCCATAGGATGTATATATTTTTTTAAATATGGGATATGGAGGGGAGGATGGGCAAGATAGGGGAAGGCGAATGAGAGGGTATTGAACCTTTAATACTATTCTAGCATACGATGATACGGAGGAAATAAACATCTTGAATCACAGTCCCCAATGCTCTTAAGCTTCAAGATATTAAATAACTTAATTTTAGAAGGTAATCATGAGTAGATGACGTAATTATTGAAGTTATCGTTAACTCCTGATGAGCTGTTATCGTACATTTTTACCGTATGGACCATTTTGTCCTATTTCTCATTTGGGACCAAAATATCCTAGGACCATTTTTTCCTGACACCTTGTTTCAGACAGCAGGATTTCACCGAAGAAGTTAGCAAAGTCTGGTAAAATTTAACTTAGAAAATTTAACTAACCTCTTTTTGAAACAATTTAGCCAGCTTAAATCTGCAGAGTTAGAAAAGTTCATTGTGGCATGTTTCCCCATGCATATAAACTTCGTTTCGACCGAGACGTTTTCCTGGGATCGCCCTGGGATAATCCGGAATTATTCGAAAAACCAACTTTGATCTGTGAGGAACCGACCGGTCGATCCCAAGGCCGCTCTGGGACCGGCTTTGGCCCGTCTAATGTCCCCTTTGATCGGTGCTACGTGCATCAAAGTTGCACCAAAGTTTGGACAAAGTGGAAGCTCGCCTGCTTCTGATGATCTGAATATTCAAAACTTCTGATGATCTGAATATTCATTGATCGATGGTGCGCGACGGAGTAAGAAGGCGCATATTCTCCTTGCTGAAGAAATTGAGAAAAATGGAGTCAGAAAGACCCCCAGTGATGTTCAAAAGAAACTCAAGACGCTGAAAAAATATATAAAGAAAGTGAAGAGTACTAAGGTGATCCTTAATTTGAATAGAGACAGAGTTGACAGGTTTCACAGTCGAGCCAAGAAAGTGCTTTTCGAGAGAAGCCTTCTGTCGAAACATGACTAATGTCGAATCTCGGGATATGTCACTCGGTCGAAAGAGCCAGATTCCTTGCCTCCGATAATCCTGTCTACTCTGAGATTAGTGTTGTGACAGATGAGCCAGGTTATCCTGAGAAGCACTATACCTGTATAATTAACGACCCAAATCCCAGAAGAGCAGTTTCCCAGGAAACGCCATAGTCGAAACAAAGTTACAGAAGAACAAGTTTATCTTAGAGGCTGATCATGATTAATGAGCAGCTAAGCAGGCAATTATGTCTAATTCACCTGTCCTGATGCGTTACGAGTCAGGGTTGTCAAATGGGATTTTTCTCTCTCCACTTTGACCTATCTTGTGGAAGAGAAGAGCTATCGTGCTACAGATGACTATATTTACCCGGAAATCAATCCCATGCGAATGGTGAAGACTCGGGTGATTCCAGCGACAATTTCAACACGGATAGTGTGGATTCCGTGCATATTTATCTGCACTGGAATCCGTCTTTCTTTCTTTTTTTTCCACGGTCAAGTTCGAATAGATAACATGCAGCGAATTTTCCCGCATAAAGCATTCTCTTTCCATTTTCGACAACCCTGGTTATTCCCAGGATCGCAACGCGGGTCCTCTTCAGTGATTTACGACCCCCATTCCAGCACGAAAAAGAAGCTGTCTGAAATGATCCCAATTAGTTAACGATCTAAGAGACCCGCGAGATCGCAGCCGTCAACCTATTTTCTCGACTCGTCGCAGTGAATCGACCATACGCATTAGGGTCCGCCCACCTCGCACGAGGCCTACCGACCGGCCATCGGCCAGTCACTTCAAATTTGAGTCCTCTCTTTGGGAGGCAAGCGGGAGTCTTTGGGCGTCTATTTGAGAGGCAAGCGGGAGACGCGTCCGAACCAACCGGGTCTCCCGATCCGAATGCGTCCTGATCCCAGCGTCCTCTCGCTCTCCCGCAGCATCCGCCTCAAGAGCCTCATCGAGGCAGATTGCACCCACGAACTCGCCCTTTCGGCGATCACCCTCAGTTCGTGACCTTCGATGAGGGCCGAGAGGCAAACGCTCCCAAACATTTTTCGGCCGACATTTTTCCCTCCTTGGAAATAGGAGATTCTGGAAGGACGGTCCTCCAGCGTTGCCGCAAAACGGCGGAAGCTCCGGAGACGCGGCCGTCGATCTCGTTCTCGTATCGCCCGTCACTCGAGAACCAGACCCGGAGGTACTTGAACCTCACCTTCCAGTGGACCACCGCGCAAAAGAAGTGCTTATACTTCTCTTACTGGCTTGCCTATACGTCACCCCGATTATTTGAGAGGAGCGAATATGCAACTTGAACATTTTTCAGCATGATAGGAATTCATTTATTTATATTAATAATAATTTTTTTTTTTTTACTGCAGGATGAGAATCGAATACTTGCACCGCGAATCAGAGGGCCGATTTCATGAAGGATTTTCATTTTATACATCGATGATCGATAGTCATTGCTTGAACATTGTTAACGAAAATATCGGTTAATCGCAAAAATTGGCCATCGAGTGAAAAATACGTTTGCACTAGCCCAACTCTGTATTTCGATGTGTTTCATTAAGGACGACCCCAAGGATTCGTTTTGCACGCACAGAGTATAAAGCTAAGAGGTCCCCCACAAAGATTTCCGTTTTATGGTAGGATATATAGGGTTTTAGGGTAGGTGATACAAATTCCGACCCCCTTAAGTTCAAAATCCGCCCCCTCACCCACGGTTTGAAATTGATTTTTTTGGGGGATCAATGCCAATCGAGACGAAAAAGCACACACTCCCCATTTCCGTTTAGAGACCAAGCATTGGTGTAATTTGGTTGAAAAAGGCTGTTAGTACTTCTGATTACATTGAAATATGTATAAGGGATAAAGCCTAGAATGTTCACTTGCCCCGTGCGACGACGAGCACATCGCTCGTATCGAGCCACTCCATAAAGATAATCTATTTGCTCGCTTGGGTGCTGCGCTGTGCCGATCGAGATAGCCGGGATAAATGCCGGAAATAAAAATCCTTTGTCTGGAAACGATACCTTTTTCAGTTTCTGTCAACCATCGGCAAGACAACGATCAAAGGAAGAAAGCGTCGATGCAATCGGCCGCGAGTTTCTCGACTCTCGAGCGGCAAGGCGGGCATTCCTCAATTATTATTTTTTTTTTCGTCTGAAAAATGGGGAATTCGTGCTGCTTGAAGAGTTTCAAATCGCGTGCTCGCCCTTTTGGCAGATCGTCGGCGCTCTGATCCGACGAATTTAACGGTACTCGTCGGACCAGAGTACCCAGTACTCCTGAGGTACCAGTTCTCAGAAGACATGGATGCATTCGTCTAAACCGGAAACCCAGCCCAGGGAGACTCTCACAATTCGGGAAGAAAAGATGGATCGAGTAGGAAACTCACTCAAGAGGCCTATTATGCCCGACCGAGAGGAGAGATAAGGAATGATAGATTAGAGGTTCGAATGGATCTTATCTGACGCGCGATACCGGAATCCGTCATGGGAAGGCGAAGCCTCGCCGCGATCGAGGGATGGAAGCACTGGTAGTACTGGCAGGAGTACTTCCAACCGGAATAAACTCGGCGGAGTAGGACTTTTAAAAGCCTCAAGATCCTGCGGGACTCGGAACACGAACCGCTGCCGTAACGCCGGAGAAGCGTCGCGAACGGTTTCTCGACGCCGGAGAGGCACTCGGCCGATCGACAGAGACTCGGCGAGACGCGATCGGCGTCTCGAGGAAGCAGCAGGGTGTGCCCTCTGCACCGACTGCTTCACGAATGCCACGTGCATGCCATTCCATACCTGGAAAAACCTCAAAGGAAAGAGTCGAGAAAGGAATGCGAACGAGCGGAAACGCTCTGGCAGCGTCCTATTCGCCTCTCCATGCCCCTCCGACCGAGTCAGGTGCGGCACGCTCCACACCGTGCATGCCAGCCAGCACTCCCGTCTGGAAGCTCCGGGTTCGTGGAGTGCAAATCCCCTTGGGTCCTAACCTCCTCGACGATCCAAGGTCGCCCACTCTCGAATCGAGGAGCCAACTTTTTTCCGTGTCGTACTCGAAGCGTCGCGTACTTTTCGGCACCGTTCTAAAGACCGTCCCTTCGTCGCGGAATGCCATGCGATTCGTCCGCGGAATTCGAGTCGGTCTGCCGTCGAGTGCAAAATAGCACCTTATACAAGGATACGGTGCTACTTTCCCCGCTCGTTCCACCGAAACGACTGATGCGTTTGTTTTTTTTCTCGGAAGGATTCGCGCCGATGCCGGGACAGGGTGTCATGACGGCCCCACCCCAGTCCACCGTCACGATCGTCACTCATCAGCTCGCCCCTGGACAATGCCCCACCTGCCAAGTAAGCCACGCGTTCGCCCGCGTCGCCTGTCGACGCATCCACCACGATTTCTCTATCCTCTCTCTCTCTCACTTTCCTCTCTCTTCTCTCACTCCTCTCTCTCTCTAGGCTGGGGTGTTGGTTGACGACTTCACTTGCTGCGGGATCACGATGGCCATATGCTTCTTCCCGATCGGGATCCTCTGCTGTCTGGCCATGCAAGAGAAGAAATGCTCCAATTGTGGATCCACTTTCAGTTGAAACCGTTCCGTTTCTTGCTGCTCCGTCGCGATCGCCGTGTGATTTGTATCGAAAGACGTATGCCAAATGGGGAAATCGATGTATCGTTCGAAGCATCAAACCAAATTCTGCATTTAGAAGTATTTATAGAAATCGAAAAAAAAAATTCCCGACGCATAGTAAACGTCGATAAATGTGAAACAGAAAGGGAAACAGTCGGCTCTCTGCAGTGAAAGTTTCCAGCTGGAGAGGTTAGAAAGTTCATTTTTGCTTTACTGGATAAAGCGAGAGAAAAACTAGAATATTTGTAACATTGAATGATAATCCCCCCCTCCCCGACAATCAGAGATTATAGATGTAGCCCATGGCTCGAGGAATCCTTTTATTAGTTTCTTTTTATTCTTTTGTTTCAACGTGTGTGGTGCAACTCTTGCAATCGATATGTCTTTCCTATGATCGTCTCATTAACCCTTCGTCACGAATCACAGGATTTTCCTACGCCGTGCATGTTTTCAACTGTCTTCGGGCCCTTTTTTTTTGCTGGTTTCAGTGTATTTTGCTTTCGGTTCGCCTTTATCATTTCGGGATTCCACAGCCTAGCAGCTTTCAGGCTCGATTGCATCTTCATCGGCTTCGATTCTGTTCCTATTAGATTACGAAGCCAATTAATGGACACCCTGCGGCTAGGGTTTGCAAAAGAAAAAAGTGGTATCATGATTCAAGCATTATTGATGACGTTCGCGATGTTTGTTTCTTTGTGTTCTTTAATTGGATATATATATATATTTTGCTCCCGGTGTGATCCCGATCCTTGGAACATTTGTTCACGGCAAGAAAAAATTTCGTTTGTCCCCATTGACAAATTAGACGATATTCTAACGTTAACGGAAGAATATGCGGGTGCATTAAACGACGTATAAACCAATCGAAAAGAATTTCGTTTCTCATCCCCGAATTTCCACGCTGCATTCAGGTACTTCCGCTATGTAATCAAACACGAAAAAAAAAAAAAAATATATATATATATAGAAATGCATTTCTCGGCTTGCCGGAAACCTCCATCGAGCGACATCCTCTCGCTCGGACGACGTTATCGACTGCCACGTCGCTTTATCTCGTCGCTTAGATTGCGTCCGGCTCTCCGCTTTCCCGTGGATGGCGGCCTGAAACGAGTATTTTTCCACGATGGAACCTGCGATCGGCTGGCCTCGAATAAGTTGCGAAGATTCCAGACCCGACAGATCGAGATGTCCATGCGGATGAAAGGAGTCCGGCCCGTTCCCTAACACCAAATTTGATGATCATGAATGATCGGACATTTCGCACCGGTGTCTTTGCAGAACTAAAAAATGCAATCGATTCAAATACGAAGAGCTAGAGAGAAGATGCAGGAGCAGATATGTCCACAGAAGACCAAAATAAGTTGCCAACTTCGCATGACCGCCGACAGAACACCATCATCGAGAATTTCCATGACGTCACATCCAGCGAATACACGTAGTTTCATAAATATTTGAATGAAATCGATTGCTCGAAACCCAAGTAATAGCTTTCTGCTGTGTCAACCGACCAATATGCCCGTCTGAGCCAGCCAGCAAAGCCGGATCGGGCGAGTGCGATCCTGCGCAGAGAAAGCAAAGTCAACGCACATTCATCGCGCGTTGTTTTAAGCAACTATTTTTATTCATATTTTCATGAAATACGTGTTGGATGTGACGTCCTGAAATTTTCCTCCGATATGGTGTGGCATTCAGTTGAGTCATGTGAAGTTGGGAACTTTATGGCATGCCAGGGATGTTTATATACCTGTATCTTATCTCAGGCAATTCAAATCTGAATAACAATGAACTTTTTTTTCATTCAGCGAGGGAGACTCACTCGATATATATATTTTTGAATGGTCAAGTTAGATTTAGTGACTATAACCCATATATTTCATGCAAACTCATTTAGCATATGGTAAATATTGGGCTCATGAAATGGGAAACAAAAGTAAGTAAAAATGCGTCTTAATAAAAATCTGCATAAGAAAAAGAAAGCGGGGAAATAAACCAAGCGTCAAGGCCGAAACGGAGTCCTTCATGGAGGCTGAACGCCTCGGCGGGACGAAATGGAGTCTTACCAGAGTCCAAGCTTCGTTTTTCGAGCGATAAGTCCAGTTATGATCAACATTCTCTTTTCACTTTAGTATTACATAGACTTTATGAGACAGTTTCGAATAAAATCATGACATCCCACAGTTTAAACCTAATACAAATAGTAAAAAAACGAACCCATCAGAGCAGCCGAAGAATGCAGGGGTCCGAACGGACTCTATCCTGCACGTTCGTCTTGCGAATTCCGTTGATCTCAGGCCGTTGCAGCGATTGGAAGCTATTTGGCAGGAATGCCCTCTGCAACTGGCGTTATACAAAATCCTGACCAAACTTTAGAGTACTTAGTATAAGTCCAAATTAAGCTAAACATAAGCTATTGTTCCCGAACAATGTTTATCTGGGTGCTACCTTCGCCCTTACCTCCTACTCCAGCTGCATTCAAGGAAAACACATAAAAACTATTTGCGAGAGGATGATCCATCATATCCCAGGTAAGCATATATGTCTTTAAAAAAAAGACAGCCGTGCGAAGTAGCCATCAGAGATGGGTTATGAACGAAATCAGGCTAATACTATTTTAAGCTCGTGAAAAAAGGAAATCCATCCGACTATTTTCCTTAAAATAAGAAAGAAATAACAGTGTCATGGAATGAGTGGAGTGACCAACCCTCGGATTAATAATCACTTACGGTTCTACCACGAGGAATAAATTACTCGATATTGTCTCACATCTCTAAGCGTAGAGAACCACTACTGCCACTATTGTCACTTCAGAAATTTCCTCTAGGATGAATACTATTATTCACGTGTGATTTACTTAGGTGTCATTAACTTATGTTTGAACCTGTAAAGTGGGGGCAAATTAAATAAAATGAAATAAGTAGTAATAATGCTTGATTTACGGTAACTTTAGTACGAAATATTTAATTTCCGCGATTCTGCCTGATTACAAAACGACAATTAAGTTGCAGTTAGGTTTTAGTTATAGTTCAGGCGCAGTTACAGTGAGCGTGAGCGAACGAGGATTTTGAAGGATCCGGTCCACCATAGTCTGGATCCCGCGGCTGTAGCTGGTGGTGAGATCCAAGGCCTCTCTGCCTTCTCTCGCGCCCTCGCTCGTCACCCGCCTCTTACGTCATGTCCCCGTGCACTCGCTCGCCTTTCTCTCTCTCACGCACACTTCCACACGCATCTGAAGGTTCCTGTGCGGTGCTGAGCCAGCACATGCGGGGTCTCTGGTGTTTCGCTTGTGATGAGTGTCCATGGTCTCAACGGGTTTTCATTACTCGTTTTCTTATCAGATTTCTAAACGCAGTCCGGTGAGAAAGTCGGCGCTTAAGAATCCTTTATCGAACGATCGTACTTTTCCGCTTTCCGAAAGCAATCGACGCCATCAATCTATCGGTCTGGTGATGCAGCAGCAATAGAAGTAACGTTTCTTGTTAAATACAGATTTCGTGGTAGAATCCGTGAAGTGATACGGTGAATGGTCGATTTATACGGGCACCCGCACATCGTAGCGGTTTACTGCTGCTCTTAATTGACATAATCGGTTGTCGGTTCAAAGCGATGAGATGTGGTCGGTGCTGCGTGATTCATCATGATTGTAGTCTAGATCACGTGGTACAGCCACCGGAAAAAGTGAGGCATTTCCTATTACTCAGCTATCGCTCGGCATGCTAGATTTCGTGACATTCCTGCGCTGGATTCTCCGTGTGTTTACACGCGACTCCCATTAGGTTTTACGTGGAGAAAATGACCGTGAGACTGGACGGGTGCGCGAGACCTTGGCCCGATTCCCCTCGGATATCTCTGCCCTCGGGGCAGAGAAAATTATGCCATCGTGGCGTATTTTCGTGCACTCTCGCCGGCTTGCGCTGATGGTCTTTTTTTCTGTCGTCGCTTGAGCTAGCGAAGTGGTTCTTAGCATTTCCCATGCGCGGCGCCACGAAGAGGCGTTGCCAGGGATACATGCCAACAGAGTCCTTCGTGTATAGGGAAACAATGGCCCATCCGGTTTCGCAAGGACGAATTCTGAGAAGCAGGGCAGTGAGTGAAAAACAGGACGGTGAGTCCAGCGTCCCAAACTGATTGGGTGAACTCGGGCCTTCGGTTATGAAAGCGATTTTTATCTCCTCAGTCACGAGGAAAGAGAACCTTGGAGTTATGAGGGGCATTCAACACATCCAAAACTCGTAAATATGCAATGCATAATGCTAAGTTATGGAGGATCGAGGAGAGCAATCTTCGCCCTTTCGTACCGGCGAAGGGGCGAAAAGGTCTGAGCCAGATATCTACGCTTGGTTACCAAAGGTTAATACTTTTCAGGGATTCGACGGTCGAGCGAGGCCCGGGTGCTTCTCAAAGTTGGTCTGGATGAAACTGGGCATGGTGAAAATCGTTCTCCGAAATTCGAAACAATAGGTAATTTTCTTCTCCGAAGACCAGTGAGCTTTAAATTCACTGAAATTCTCGAGAATGGGCTTCAATCAGGTTCATCTCGAAAGCTGCAGCCGTACCACCGAGAATACGTTTTATTCTTTCGGTCGTATATCGCTTGTTTCCTTGCACATTTCCGTTCTTGTATGCTCTTAACATATCGTTCTTTTCCCTTGGAGGAGTAAACAGCGGTGTTCGATAACTATGACGCACTTCACCCTGACTCATGCCACTGTATCTATACGAAGTCGAAAGCAGCGAGCATTGGAAGCGATCGGAGGAAACCTCCAATCCCATTCCACTTATTCTCGGCAGAGCAGGAAGACTCCCGAAACGAGGAGGACCGTGCCCATGCGGCCCATGCGCTCGTAGATCGAGAGTAAACTCCCCCCCCTTCACCCTCACTGCTGTTTCGACTGATTTACGGCCTCTTCCCTGGAATTGCCCCAGCCGCGACGGGAAATAGCACACAACCGGAAAGTCATTCTTATCTGCTTTTACGACGACCTACGTCATAGTGGTATAGAATGTCCATAAATGCCGAGGGAAAGATAGACTAGACCACCTTAAGCATCCACAGAGAGCAGACTCCTTTTATCTCACGAGGAATAAGGCCTTTACTGTAGAAGCGGTCGGATATTCCATTCTCGTTCAGGTACCCCCTCGTTAAAAGTTCAGTGCACTCGTGATCGAAAAGGAAAATGGCTGGGGAGCATATCGTGGTTGTGGCAGGCGGCCAATGCCCCAAATGCGGGGTGAGTCCCAATCCCCAACATCGGCGGCGGTGAGTCGTCATCCCTTCTCGTCTCACGGATTCGTTCGTGTCTTCGCAGGGAGGCGTGCTGACGGACCACTACACTTGCTGTGGATTGATCCTTGCCATCGTTTTCTTTCCCGTTGGGGTTCTCTGCTGTTACATGATGAGGGAGAAGAAGTGCTCCAACTGTGGGGAAACCTACGGCTAACGCGTCGGTCAAGTCTTGACCTTCGACCTCGTTCAGAATCCTCGAATGTCATGATCGTGTTTTGAACGAAGTGAAAAACAGAGTCAAGGTCATCTGACTTCTTCATATCTTCGGATTGGTTTCGTTGATCTGCATACGACACTGCTTTGGCTTCTTATGACTTGATTGTTTCACGCTTGAAAAAAAAGAATTCTTCGCCATATGAATGGCTCCTTGTTTTTGTTTTGTTTTGGTTTATTTTCCATTTTTATTTTTTATTTTTTGACCAAGTCGCAGTCAAAGCTATTTAAAATTATCTCGTAGCTTTCCCACGGGAGTAACACGTTGACAGGAGGAAAAGAATGGCCGGAGACAGACGGGACTATACGCTTCCAGAGCGTTTTCTTAAAGTGACATCTATTGGAGAAATACGAGAGGATGTAGGAAGAACCCTTTCCGGCTAGGGGTCACTGCTGCGCACCCACCGGTTTTCGTAGACCAGGGGTCGTATTCACGAAACATTCTTATG